AGCAGTAGAAAAGTAACCAAGACACCCAGGTCTTTTGCTCCTTCCTTCCTGCTCAGTGAGGACCACCTATTCCTGTCCTCTGCCCCCTGAGCCTTTCTGAGATCTACAGCTCGCAGCAGTCTATAGATGAGTCTACAGGGAACAGTAATGTAAGCCCTGTGGCTCTTCCAACATGACATAAAGGGAAAACATCTGACAGAGCATATATCAGCCCACCTGTGTTGATTTATCCTCATCTACATAAACAAAAACCATGAGCATGAACAAACTGTGCCGTACCATACCATTCCATACCATTCCAGGGGCTACCTCATTCTCAGAAACCGGCCTCGGTGATTGGTAGTGATGCCACTTTAGCAATAATCACAGAAGGCAATTCTTGAGATATGTATGGCTTTTCACAGGCTGATGGTCATCTTGTTATTAAATGTCATATGTATACTCCTTTTCAGCTATTTAGCTAGTATGTTGAATTGTTCATACTCTTAGTATTCAAATGGAACTAGAGACCATTTTAGGACTTGGGGTATAAATCAGTGGTGGAGCATTTGCCTACCATGCATGAGGTCCTGGGTTCAATATCCAAACTGAAGAAAAGAAAACACAGAACACAAACAACAACAAACCACTTCCTCAGTTCCCTTAAACCTCTAAGAGCTAGGACCATTCCAAACAGCATTCAGGGAGGACTGAAGCTCTCTTGGTAATAAAAATGGTGAAGTTTCCATTTGACAGTTTAATGACCCTGGAGTGGGTATAAATACTAATGCACTCCATAGCTGCTTTGCCTCTCTCTCTACCAGTGTCAGGGCAATAAAAAGTCCTAAACATGAGGAACAGTTTACATGTAAGAGGAACATCTCCTGGCCCCTGACTTTCTGACTAGATTTAGAATTTCTGAAACAAGCCCTGATTTCAAAAGGTAGGAATGCTCTCATCTTCTCGCATAGTTTCTATGTGCACTTACATGCTGCGGATGCGTGTCTACAGTAAAATGTCCATGTTTGCTTTTTCTTTTTTTTAGAGAGGTGAGCAACTCTAGGGCCAGAACCTGGGGACTTGTACCTGAGAGGCAAGCTGTTTATCACTAAACTACCCCAAATCAGCTCAGTCCCCGATGCAGTCAGTTAACCAATCCATGAAGCAAAATATGCCTTGTCTCCCCAGGAGGGGTGTGCTGGCCAGTCGATTTGGAACCATCTTCACCAAAGGCGATTTGGTGCTCATGAGCTTTAGTCCTAATGTATTACTCATTCATAGTTAGAGATCAAGAGCTGTTCTTAATTGGGATTTCATTAACCTAGTGTTTGGATGACTTTGGGCTGCATTTGTCTCTCAGAATGCTTCTGAAGATTATGCCAATAAAGGAAAATGAAGTTCATATTGTTGTCTTTCAAAAGACACAATTACAACAAATGTAATTATAGAACTAATTTATTTTTGCTCAGAGCATCCTCCACTCTACCAAACAGAGCAAGAGCCCCACTGGAAGACTGATGGTTGTGTAAGGTAGAAACAAGGAAAGAGAACCAATGTAAACAACACAGCTCATGAACTAACAGGCCATGCTTTGGGGTACTTTTTTTTTTTTATAGGTCTGAAAGCCAAAGAAACTGCCTTATTTTTCTAGGATACCCTTGAGTGACTGTCTCCTTTTTGCTTACTCTTGCCTGCTGGGACCTAATATAAGTGTTTTATCTAAACCAACTACTTTGGTTTACTTTTAGAAATAACAAACTGAAGAGATCAGTGAAAACAGTTTTTAATATGCAGTTCTGCAGGAAGGGATGACAGCCAAGAGAAAGAGCAAAAATGGCTGCTGCAAAACTAGTTTCTAAAGTCTCCAGGTTTGGAGAAAGTCCTGTCCTTTTCTCATAGTGCAGGACTTGGCCCTTCCCAAAGTCCCCGCCTCACTGGTTTAGAACACAGCTCCTTGTTTCAATATTTGGTGCTTGAGGCAGCCTCCTTCTCTGATCATGGGCTCAGTTGTGTAGCTGAGTACCTGTAGCCTTCCCACTGTGAGCCCTGAGACAAGCTAGTGCCAGCCACCAGCTGGGCCTCCTGTTTATCTGTGACCCTGATGAACTGTCAAACAGCTCATATTGAAAATGGACCATCTATTTCTTACATCATAGTATCATAAATAGCATAAAATACATGTGACTAAATGTAGCATTTTGGGAACAGAAAGACGTACCAAGTTTATTAAAATGCAGGTATAAATTGGGGAAGGAAGGAGGGTTGGACAGAGGGAGAATCAGGTCTCTTTGGATCCACATGGTCCTCAGCCAGGTCGGCTTCAGCAGAGCTGGACCATTGCGCTATACCACTCCAGCTGTTTCTGGTCTCCTACCGTTCTTAGTTCTTTAGCTCGCTCTAGACTCTCCCCTATCTCCACCTTTTGCTCACTTTCTCCGTGCACTTGAGTAAACTGCCAGGTGTGCTTCCAGTGTTGTCACAGGCAGGGTTCCTGCAGAGGTCGTCCTGCCCCATTGCCCCAGCCCACTGCTGTTTTGCAGGGTGGTGTCCATAGCAAATAATTTCAGACTCTCACGGACGTGGAACTCCAGCCTGGCTCTGGCACTGGCAGCCCTTCTCTGTGCTGCAGCCTTGTGTGTATAAAATGGGTGTGATGCCACTTGCCATATATGGCAGTTCTGAGGGGTAAAGGAGAATGTGCTCAGTGGCAGGGACTGTTTCCTAGTGTGATGCCCCCATTTACTCTGATGCCAGGGCCATAAATAATAAGCAAGAAGTCTCCTGAAAAGGAAACCTGGCTTTCCTTCCTCCAAGCCATAGGCACATGAGACATGGGTGTGGAGATGTGGCCTCAGGCACCTGTGCTATGGAAATAAGAAGATAGACCAAGCTTGAAAGCTTTAAGTAGGTAAGGCCGTGGTGGCACACACCTTAATCCCAGCACTCAAGAGACAGAGGCAGGCAGATCTCCAGAGTTTGAGGGCAGCCTGGTCTACAGAGTGAGTTCCAGGGCTACACAGAGAAACCCTATCTTGAAAAACAAACAGACAAAAGAAACTTTAAATAGCAGCTAGAGAATTGGCTCAGTGCTTATGCAGATGATGTGGGTTTACTTCCCAACACCCAAATAACAGTTACAGTAATCATTTGTAACTCCAGTCCCAGGAGATTCAAAACCCTCTTCTGGCCTTCAAAGGCACTAGGCATGCGTTCAGTACACTGAAATACATACAGATAAAAACACTCATATACCTAAAGTTAATAAAGTAAAATTTTAATGTTTTGTTTTGATACAGGGATTCTCTGTGTAGCCCTGGCTGTCCTGGAACTCACTCTGTAAATGAGACTGGCCTTGAAATCACAGAGATCCACCTGCATCTGCCTCCCACATTCTGGGGTTAAAGGCGTGTGCCACCACTGCCCAGCTAAAATGTAAATTTTAATAAATCAGTAATAAATAAATAAACGCTTTAAGTATAAAGCTTACCTGGCTCAGACTGCCACCAAACATTGTGTCAGCAAGATGGCTTAGTGAGTAAAGGCACTTGCTTCCAAGCCTGATGATCTTGAGTTTGATTCCCAGAAGTAAGATAGTAAAAGGAGTAATCTAGCTCTTGCAGGTAGTGCTCTGACTTCCAAATTTGCACATGACGCTCACCTGCACCCCCCCACACACATACATACATACACACACACACTCAAAATAATAAATGTTAAAAATTTTAACTGCATGGCCAAGAAAAGAAGGAGGAGGATTTGGCTGTGGTATGCAGTGGTGCTCTGCCTTCCCCAGGCTGGCCTGTGCCTGTGTGTCTGTTGGCGCTCCCCTCCTGGACGCTGTTGTCCACATGCAGGGCAAAAGTACCTCAGTCTTATGAGCAGATGGGCACACTGCTACAGCCTGTTTCTTGCCTCTGCTTTTGTAGCACGTACATTTCTTCAGAAAATTTAAAATCCAAGGATTTTTTTTCAGACTCACTGAACTGAGAGAGATGTGAAAGACAAAAACCCAAATGCTCGGCTTCCCAGCGGCCCTGACGGCTACACAGTTGCCCTGGAAACTGAGGTGGGCCCTTCTAGACGTTCATGTAGCACGGATGCCCCTGGATGCCCAGCGGCTGTTCCAAGGCAGGAGTGCCTGAACCATGCAGACCAACATGGAGAGGTGTTACCATGGCAGCCTGTTGCTCTCAGCCAGATGCCTGTCCCAGCTGAGTAATTGCAGGGCAGGCTGGAGAACGCTCCAGTTCAGCTCTCCGGGGCAGTCACAGTGGACTAATTCTAGCACGGCCTTTGCTGCAGAGGAGGAGGGGCTGCCAGAGCCTACTCCCTCAAGAAGAGCTACCATCACCTCCCTCTTTTGGTCTTTGCCTGGCTTTTTGGCCCAGCTTCTCTGGAATTAGGGTGTTTTGAAGAGGGCCCAGAGGGCCTTCCTAGAAGCCCTAGTGACTGCGGAAATCCTAAAATGGACCCCACACTTGCCTAGTTCTACCCAGTGTAACTGGGAAAACTAAGCTTGCCGTGTGTTCTTAAGCTCGGTAATAAAAGAATTTACAGGCTCGGAAGGAAGCTTGAGGACAATTTTATTAGTTTCAGAGGGAAACATCAGTTCAGGCAAGCTGAAAATCCTGGCCCTCACCAGGAGAGGCGGAGATGGAAACAGACAATGCCTTTCCGCCCGCCATGGAGGTCAGAGCAATAGTAAGAAGTGCAGAGTGTCTAGAAGAGCACAATTGGGAGCACTGAGCAGAGGGTCTAAGTTCAGAGAGCACCCGAAGACCGCAGCAAGGTCACACGGTCAGCTCCCGAGAAGGCACACAAGGCTGTGAGCTGAGAGGAAAGCCAAGCGAGCACCAAGGTGGTTATAGCCTCTCTAGGGCCTTTATAGCCCCGCCTTTCCTATGTGGTTTTTATTTTTTTTTAGGTTTTTTTTTTTTTTTTTTTACTGTATTTCAGGGTGCTTTGCCTTGTTAGATAAACCCAGGTCAGTGAAGCCTTCCAGCCTTGTGTAAACTTGTTACCACCCAGTCCCTGTTTGCCAGCCACAGTCCCTGCACACTCCCACTCCAGAAATGTAGTCCCCAGAAATCTTTTTGATGAACAGAACGGTGATGATCAGTCAGTTGTCTGTAACTGCTTTCATGCTGCTGACAGTCGTAGACCTTGCCTAAAAGAAACCACAAGGCTTGTTTTCTATTTTATCTGTTGGTTAGAGAACAGACTTTGGCTTTTCAGCTAGAATTTGGATTTTCTAGAATTCCTGCGTTACAGGGAGTTTAGTTTAAAATCCTTGTGTGTTGTGGAAGACTCATGTTCTACAAGAATAAAATACAAGTTTAAGTCAGTTTGAGATCATGCCAACTCATAATCTCATGAAGGGCGAGGACCAGGAAAGCCATGCCATGTTTATCCCAGGAAGGCATCCTCTGTAGCTTGCTCTTAGATTAATTTAGAGAAAAATTGATTAAGAATGTGGTGAGATGAAAAAGAACAATTTTAAGAGCGAATGTGTCTGGTGTAGTAGTACATGCTTTTAATCCCAGCACTTGGGAGGCAGAGGCAGGTATATCTCTGAGTTCGAGGCCAGCCTGAGCTACATAGAGATTTCCAGGATAGCCAGAGCTACATAGTGAGACCCTGTCTCAAAACAAACAAAAAGAATGAATGGGATTGGTGAATAGATTAAAAGGAAGGTTGTGTGAGGGTATAAACATTGAGAACCAACAGCATCAAAAGGAAAATAGAAAATCAGAGCTTGAAGCAAGGTTAACTCCTGCCGATACGTTTACATAAATTTACCTAAGCAGATTTACATAAATACAACCTGTCTTTGTATGGTAGCTGGGTGGCTGCAGTTGCCTTACCTCGTATTTCATTAACGCATATACAAGATTTAATAGGAAAGCCTTTTAAAACCCTGCATTATTGCTTGTCGTATTTTAAACTTTAGTTTACCTTTTTCTTTTTTATTATGCCAATCTTTTTTTTTTTCCTGTACTTTTCTGCTGGGTGTATAATAAGACCACATAGATATCCCAGAATTACTATTTTTAACTGTTAAGGACAATTGAGAAACTGGGCCTGGGGGCGGGGGTCACTGAGAGTTGAGAGGAACCTCTGGCTCCTTTCATCCTTTCTTTGCTTGAGCAGTTTGCCATTGCCTGGGCTGAGTCGGGGTCTTGCTGACCATGGGCCTTTCTTTGGAAGCACAGCCCTCTGGTGACTTTCCTCCTTGCAAAATGTATGCTGGTGAGAGTCTGCTGTCCAGCTCTCTGTGGCCTCTCTGATGTAGAGGACAAACAATTCCTCAGAGATGCATAACCCCTGCAACCAAGCTGACCTTGTAGGACAAGGGCCAAAATACTGGTCTCCTTTCACACGCACATCGGTCTCCAAGTACGGCTGTTGAATACTCAAAAGGCCCGTTATGCCAGTACTGGAGAACAAACCATACTTTAAAATACAGCTGTTGTAGCGCCTAGATAAAGGCTGACAGGGACAAATGTTTGATAAAGCTGGTGTAAGACTGTTTGCTAAGGAGAAGCCTGACACGTTTAGTAGAAACTAAATGTGATTATTTTGATAAAACATAGAAATCCTCTTTAAAACACACAAAGAAAGTTGAGCACACAGGGCCGCCTCGAAGCTCAACCCCAGGCGCAGGCCGTCTGGTGTGTATGTGTGAGTCTTAGTCCTCCAACCAAAGCCCTCATGTAGTGAGCCGATCCGTTCCCCAAGCCACAGGGACGTCTTCGTATCATTTGTAGATCAGAGCTGTCAGCCTTGACTAAGACTGCTTATCTGACTCTTTGTTTTAACTTTAATTGCTTTATGCCCTAAAAGGAATGGGAGCTAAGTTGGCTATTCTAATTAATGCAACCATTTACTGATAATCTAGCTTGGTACCATGTAAACATAAAAACTTATAAATAATATAAGTGCAGTCATATAAAAAGATAGCACCTTTATGAAAATACTAAGGATTAGCCAGGTGCACTGCTGTAATCCCAGAATTTGGGGAGGCAGAGGCAGGCCGATCACTCTAAGTTTGAGGCCAGCCTGGTCTACAAAGCGAGTCTAGGAGCGTGAAAGCTACACAGAGAAACCCTGTCTCAAAAAGAAAGAGAGAAAATACTTAGATTTTGTTTATATTGGCAGCTTTAAGGTAGCCTGCTGTTTAGATTCTATTCTATAAGGCAATGAGCAATTTTTTTTCTATTTCTAGAGTTTTCTGTACACTTTTTCTTTCTTTAACTAAATTTTTATTTTTTATATATTAATTACAGTTTTTTAATTTTGTATCCCAGCTGTAGCCTCCTCCTTCATTCTCTCCCCATCCCACCCTCCCTGCCTCATTTCCTCCCATGCCCCTAACCAAGTCCACTGATAGGGGAGGTCCTCCTCTCCTACCATCTGACCGTAGCTTATCAGGTCTAATCAGGACTGATTGCATTGTCCTCCTCTGTGGCCTGGCAATTTGCCGGCAAAAGGTGGGATCTGGAAAATATCATCCTGAGTGAGGTATCCCAGAAGCAAAAATACACACACAGTATATACTCACTTATAAGTGGATATTAGACATATAATATAGGATAAACATACTAAAATCTGTACACCTAAAGAAGCTAAGCAAGAAGGAGGACCCTGGGTAAGATGATCAATCCTCACTCAGAAAGACAAACGGGATGGACATTGGAAGAAGGAGAAAACAGGAATAGGACAGGAGCCAACCACAGAGGGCCTCTGACTGACTCTACCCAGTGGTGTATCAAAGCAGGCGCTAAGACTCATAACCAAACTTTGTGCAGAGTGCAGTGAATCTTAGGAAAGAAGGGGGAGATAGTAAGACCCAAAGAGGACAGGAGCTCCAAGGAGAGCAACAGAACCAAAAAAAATTTGGGCCCAGTGGTCTTTTCTGAGACTGATGCTCCAACCAAGGACCATTTATGGATATTACCTAGAACCTCTGTTCAGATGTAGCCCATGGCAGCTCAGTATCTAAGTGGGTTTCCTAGTAAGGGGAACAGGGACTGTCTCTGACATGAACTCAGTGGCTGGCTCTTTGATCACCTCCCGCTGAGGGGGGAGCAGCCTTGCCAACAAGCAATTCTTAATCCAAAAGCTGTACTTTTTTTTTCCTTTGAGAAAGAATCTCAGTATATGGCCCTGTCTAGCCTAGAACTCTCTGGATCAAGCTGTCCTCAAATTCGCAGAGATCGCTGGCCTTTGTCTTCTGAGTACTGGGATTAAAGACGTGCCACCATACCTGAAATCTATACTTTTAAAAACATAATTTTTATGTAAATTAGAAAACCAGTAACTTTAAAGACATAGAGCTTAGCTGGATTCTTGATAAAGCTTAAAGCAGGCCAAGCAGACACTTTAGTTTAAATTGTACAAGATAAAAAATCTTTTAAAACCCCATTTTTTTGAAGGTAGAGATATAGAAAGGCAGCAGTTTGGTTTTGTTGTTTGTTTAAAATAGCAATAATTTTTTTGTTAGATTCACTTATTTTAATTTTACATGTATGAATGTGTTGCCATTATATATATTACTGCATGCATTTCTGGTATTCTTGGAGGCCAGAAGAGGGTTCTAGACCACCTGGAACTCCAGTTACAGGCAGTCTGATAGGTGCTCAGTGGGTGCTGAGACCCTAACCTGATTCTCTGCAAAAGCCACCAGTGCTCTTAAATATTGAGCCATCTCTACGGCCCCAGAGCAATGAATTTTAAGCTCAATGTTATAACTATAAGTTAAAGTTCATCTTAGCAATGTAAGTGTTATTATCATCTTAATGTTTAATAATATAGCCATTATAATATATATATAAATTTATACAATGATACTGTTTGTTGGTATTGTATCTCCTATCATCCCCACTATGAAAGGAAACTTATGAATATTTGGCAAACATTATCATTTTTACATGTATTACAGCTTTAGTAGAAACTTAATATTTAACATGTAAACCTTAATGTTTCTAAAAAAGAAACCCATTAGAATTAGTCCAGCCCGTATTTACAGTGTACTTGACCCAGGACATCCCAACATGAAACATTTTTATGTCCTGTTATTTTTCATTACCTATGACTATTAAACAAATGAAATAAAATTAATAATATTTTAAAAAAGTTTGGAGAAAGGAAATTTATTTAAAATCTCTGTATCCAACATCAGATTTTATAACCTAATGAAACTTTTCTCTTATGACTCCAATAAAAGTTGTTTTAAATAAGCAAATAGCATTTTAAGACTTTATAAAACATTTAATAGGCTCAAAGATACTCTTTTAATGGGCGTTAAGAAGGAAAGTGAATGCCTTACTTTATAAGTATTTACTTTAAAGGCCTTGTAATATATTCCCCAAAGACTCACATTCACACACACTTTTAAGGTAGGCTCTATTCCCATGTCTCTTTTGTCACGGGTCTGTCAGTCTGTCTGCCCTTTGGTCATCTATCAGTCTGCCTCTAGCCTGTAAGGTGGTTGTGTCTGGGATGAGTCCTTCAGGTCTGTGGAAACTGAGTCCTTCAGATCCATGGAACCTGAGGCTCTTGCACTATTGAACATTCTTAGCTAATAGCTGTTTGTGTTAGGAAGTTTTAAAAATAATTATTTAAGGAAAAAAATAGAGCAATAGGACCTGCATAAGGAAAAAGTTGTATTTGTTCAGGAAGGCAGAACTGCTGTGAAAAGGACAGAGTCAGGGCTTGGAAGTCTCCATAAGACAAGACAGAATCAATGTGGGAGACAGGTAGACATGCCCACTGTGTGCTAGTTTCCTGGTGCTGCTTCAGGGGTCCCCAGGGAAGGATGTCACTTTTTTTTTTTTTTTCCTGAAAGTCTATGATTGAACATGCACTCTAGTTGTTCCAGAATGTCCAAGCATTCTCCTTAAAGGAATGCTGTAAGGTTAGCGTAGACAGATAACAAAGAACTTGCGTTCTAGCGTGCTCTGCGGGAGCCACTGTTGTACAGGACAGTCGCTGAGCCTAACTGCCTCCATCTCCTTGAGTTCAGCTGTGCCTGCAAAAGATCCTCACAGCTGGGCTTGTTGGCCACTGCCTTTCCTTTATAGAAGGGGGCTGAGGGTGTGTAAGGGGAGAGTTAGGGGACCCTTATCGGAGTATCTAGCCACTCCTCCCAACCAAGTGTATGCAGTTCTGCCTTAACGCACGTGGCATTAGGGAGGGGGCTCCGGTTAGATGGCCATAGAAGAGTTTCCATTTTCACTGAGTGCTGACCTCCCAGTGTGGCTGCTTTAAAACTGCCCATTCTCCTGCCCACCACCCTTAAACTCACTGGTTTCTCAAAATAAGCGTTGATATGTTGGTAGAATTGCACCTCTTTAGTTTGTCATTATGATCTTTGGCAGAGAGTTAGTCATTGCTTATATCTCCTCCAGGGAAGGAATTTTACCAGCAGCCATATTGCCTGTTATTTAAGGCACTTTAGGTCACTTCCGGTGATTTTCACAAAGCAGGTCCAGCTGTAGGTTGGTATGAGCGTTTAAGATTTTATCTTTTGGCTAATTTCACCCCCCTCCCTATTTGTATTGAGGGCAGACAGTATTACAGTGGGATATTTACTTTTTTTTATATTTTCAGGATCAAGCATCCCAACTCTCTACATAGTCCAAGGAAATAGAAGGCAGATTTCCCATAATGATAGGTCTTAGTTAGAGTTTCCATTGCTGTGAAGAGACACCATGACCCGAGGCAGCTCCTATAAACGAAAACATTTAACTGGAGCCGGTTTAAAGTTTCAGAGGTTTAGTCCATTATCATCATGGCGGGAAACATGACAACGTCCATGCAGACATGGTACTGGAGGAGGAGCTGAGACTTCTACATCCTGAGCCATAGGCAGCAGAAGGAGACTATGTTCCTGGGCATAACTTATAGGACCTCAAAGCCCTCCTCCACAATGACACACTTCCTTCAACAAGGCCACACCTCCTAAGAGTGCCACTCCCTATGGGCCAAGCATTCAAACACATGAGGCTCTGGAGGCCATTCCTATCAAACCACCACGTGACACAGAAGTAGATTTCCCATAATAGAGACAATCTATGGGAAGTAGATTTCCCATAATAGAGACAAGTACTAGAGGAGCCTTTGGAGTGGAGGGAAAGAAGTGTCCCCTATTGCCTTCTCCAGGCCCTACTTTCTGTCTTCAGATTCTCTCCGCAAGGATCTGTATAGGTACATAAGGATGTAGGTGCAAAAAGATTAGAAACACTAATTTTATGGGTTGGAGAGATGGCTCGGTAGTTTAGAGCCCTTGTTGCTCTTGCAAAAGACCTGGGTTGGATTCCCAGCGCTCACATGGTGGTTCACAACCATCTATAACTTTAGTTCCAGGGATCATACTCCTCAAGGAAATAAGACCTCTATCCTAAGAAACTCTTAAAAAAAATGAAAAGAAAAAATATAACAACAATAAAACAGAACAATTTCTGAATTATGAAACTACAATTTTGGACAAAAGATGATTTTGTGAATAAATGGCTTTGCCCTTTTTATTTTAAATGGCCACACAGATTAGAAATGCATGTGGGTTGAGGTTTTTCCTTTGAATCTGATGCTCAGGAGAAATGCCTTATCACAGAGGAATCATTTCCATACCCATAGAGGCAGGTCTGTTCATAGTAAAAATGGCAAAGAAATGAGAGTGGTTAGGACATAATAGAGCAGAAGGAAATGACTTATATATCTAAGAGAGTCCCTCAGGACACGCTCAGCCTGGCTTTTTATCATTTTAAGCCATGCTCCTGTGATGTCTCACTCTCTAAACTTTCAGTCCATTGAGTTGGGATCCCAGACTTCAAAACTCCTGTCTCCATTGCTGTTATTATATTTATGTGTGTGCCACTGCCTATGTGTGAAGAGCAGAGGACCAACTTTCAAACATCTTTCTCGCCTTTCACTGTGTGGTTCCTGGGCATTGAACTCAAGTGGTCAGGCTTGACTGCAAGTACCCTTACCCACTATACTAACTCCCCGCCCCCTGAACATCTTTTAAAAATGAAATCTTTGGGAAGATAACCTTGCTTATCACTGTGTGTCAAGCAGCAACCCCAACGAGTGACCTGCCCTGGGGGAGGAGCCTCACCCCCCACTGGAATGATCCTTGCTTGTTCTCTGTGATAGCTGGGAGACTATTGAGCTTGAGTAAAGCTGGACTGTTGGATATTTTGTGGGCTCCTTTTTATCACCCTTCTCCACCCTTATTCCACCCTTCCAACCCCCAACACTAGGTAGGAGAGAAAGAAGGTTAGAGGGAAAGGGGGCGTTGATATCGTTAGACTACTTCCTGCTTTGATCTTCAGCATCAGGACACTCAATTTCTTCTTGTTTCTTTGCGCGTGACCATTTGACAAACAGCAGCCAACTACAACAGCAAGCAGCAGCAGAAGCAGCCACCCTGCAGCCCCTCTTTGAGCTCTAGCATTTTTAATACCCTTTCATGAGTCCCCATGATTCCAAACATCATACACTTGCATTAACTATCTACAGCTGGCAAATTCATGCCCCTGCTAGAGCACAAGGCAAATGGTAGTCAGCTGCTGTGGACAATCTGAAGCAGCCCCATATCCCACACCTGGATTAAAACAAAAACGTATTTCCATAACATTTCTATGTTCTTTAAAGAAACCAAAATTCTCACTACACCTGAGGTTTCTCTCGCCCCTGGGAAGTTGCTCTATTTAAGACAGGGAGTATAGAGCAGGAGCAATTGTAGCTTGGGCTCTATGCTCTTGTTTTGTCTGATCTGTTTGTTGTTTGGTTATATGTAGTTATGATGACGGTGATAGGAATAATGGTGATGATAGTGATGGTAATGATGGTGATGGTGGTATAATGATGTTGATGATGATGGCCATAGTGATGGTGGTGGTGGTGTTGATGGTGATAGTGGTGATAATGGTGGTGGAGATTGTAATGATGGTAGAGGTGACGATGGTGATGATGATGGTAGTAGTTGGTAGTAGTGGTGATGATGGTGGTGGTGGTAGTGATGATTGTGCTCCCTTGGCCAATAAGTCTGGGAAATGCTGGATGCACAAAGTTCATTTGTGTAGTAATTTGAAACAAGATTTATATCAGGCTTTAATGGTTCCCCAGGGGGTGAGAATTCCCCATGATCTCATCTTCACCTACACATGTACCTGCAAATGGATGTGGACCACACAAGGCCATTCCTACTACCAAAGTTAAACACACCCCATGAAAGTTAAACACACCCCCTTACGTTGCCTTACCCAAACCCAGCACATTGTCTGACTCTTGTCCTTGGCAGTACAGTGGGGGTTAACACTGGCTTTTCTCTCTCCACAGAACATTGATATCACCAATTTCAGCAGCAGCTGGAGCGATGGGCTGGCCCTCTGTGCTCTGCTGCACACCTACCTGCCTGCCCACATCCCGTACCAGGAGCTGAACAGTCAGGAGAAAGTGAGTCAGTGTCTGTGCCACCTCGTGTCTCCCCCGGGAGAGCCAGCTTCTGCAGCAGAGCATTACTGGATGGGTGGGAAGGCTTAATAGATCTGGGACCTCAGGACGGGCACAGGGGATGGGATGTGACTGCACAGTGGGGTCCTATCCTTAGCAAATAAGTTTCAGCTGCCTTTCTCAGTCATACCCTCTGTTACCAAGAAAAAAGAGTGAGTCCCAGTTTACTATAGTTGCTGAGAAGATCCTGTTGCCTGTTTCCTAGAGAAAACCCTGGTTTATCTGTGACCTTCATTTTTCAAAGTCTCTTCTAGTGCTAGGGGTGGAGATAGGGATGGTAGCAGAATTCCCTTCTCATCTTTTAAAGGAGGTTCATCTTTATTCTGTTGAGCTGATTGGATTAGACTCATCCGCACCCCAGAGGGTTGTCAGCTTTATGGGAAGTCAACAATGGAATTGTTGATGTCATCTAAGTCCACCAATGGAATTGTTAATGTCATCTAACTGTATAGACCAGACTGGCCTCGAACTCACAGATACCTGCCTGCCTCTGCCTCCTGCCTCTTGGGTCAAAGACACGTGCCACAATGCCTTCCCTAATCTCACCCTTTAAATACCTCCCTAGAGGGCTGACAAGGTGGCTGGCTCAGTGGGTAAGGCCACTTGCTCCCAAGCTTGACAACCTGAGTTTAATAACTAAGATCCACAAGGTAGAAAGAAAGAAGCAACTTGTTGTCCTCTGATCTCCACACATGAGCACGCATGTACACACACACAATAAATAAATAAATAAATACATGTGATACAATTTTAAATAAAGAAATAATGTGTGGCTAAATATTTGGATACCAGATAGCCAAGTTGGTACAAAAAAATTAGCCATCACTGAGTATCTTACAGGACTGGCAGTATGGCTCATGGTAAAGCAGTGATCCAGCATGGACCCGACCCTGGGTTCAGTTTCTAGCATTGAGAAAGTAATTTCTTCAAAGCATCTTCATGCAGAGCGCTTTGCAAACTGTCAGACATGCCAAGTAAGAGTTGAAAGGGTTAGGCTAACTTTGTAACCTATATGTCTTCTAAAGCCTATAGTTTTGAGTTTTAGGTCCAGGTTAAGCTAAAGCCTCTTAGTACCTTTCCAGAGAATGGAGGAATGTGACCCTATCTGTGAGGACAGATATAAAAAAAGGCAAGCAAGCAATGACCTTCACTCAGCAAAAGAAGGACCAGACCCTTGTCTTTGAGATGGCATTTCTTAGCAACAAACCTAGACTTCTTCTGAGTAGCTTTTGACCTCCAGCCAAAAGTCTGTAGCCCCTAATCTTCAAGGATGAGCTAACCACCCCCACCTTCAATTGCAGCTGCATCCACACTTGGCAGGACTGGCCAAGCTTGAGCACCTAAGATTAACCAATTATCTTACTTTATAGCTTCCTCATCCAATCCTAAGTTGCCAAGGCTGCGACTTCAAATCTCCCGCAATTTTTCTTTTAAAAACCTAAAGTCCTTTGTCTCCCGGTGCCACTCTTTGTTGACCGGCAGGGGTGACCCCATTGTGCAATGGTTAATAAATCTCTTGCTTTTGCAACGAGTCTTGGTCTGGGGGAGTTTCTGGAAAGGGCGCAATCTTGAACTCCTGAGCCTTGGGACCCCAGGTCTTACAGAGTATGTAATGTTTAGGAGGAAAAATATGCAGTGAATCATGTTAAGTCTGAGATGTCTAAATTATTCTTCAAGTGTTGTGTCAGGCAGGTAGACAGCAAATCTGGAGTTCAGATTGGAAATCAGAGCTAGAAGAATGGATGTGGGAGGAATCAGTGAAGATTAGTGCTGTGTGGTAGCACTTCCTGAGATGAAGCAGCATTTTGTGTTTGTACTGTCCAATAATGTTGGAAAGCTAGATAGAGATGGTTCGTGAAGCCTTGAAGATCAGCTAGACCCCTCATCTTAAGGGAACTATCTTAAGCAACTTTAATAACTATAGCAAAGTAACTGAGACTGTGTATGTTATAAAGAAAAGAGGTTTGGTTAGAGATTTGAATGCTGGAAATCCAAATTTGGGGCAGTCATATCTTTCAACCACTCAGAAGGGCCTCCTGGTATGTAGCATTACAACAGTGAGACCATGTGCCAAAGAATGATGCGGGGTGAGACAGGGAGCCAGAGAGGTTCAGAGGCCAGGGGTGCTCTCCCAAAAAGTAATCAGTATCTCATGAGAACTGCACTGAACTCTTCAGAGAGTAAGATTCCCAGTAACCTGCTTTATCCACACCCTAAGGGTTCCATTACTTCATATGCTACTGCCCACGCTTTCAGCGCAGGAACCTACTGGGACACAGTCAAGCCCTGTCTATAGCACAGTAGAAGCACCCAGAGGGGAATGACCCAGCAGAGGGAACCAGAGGGGTGCAGAGTGGGGGCCATCAGCCATCACAGAGGCCAAGGGCACAGCGGGGAGTCTGATCTGGCATTCCCTCCCCCACCCTCTTGAGTTTCCACCCCCACTTCCTCACTGGTGTGATGTTACAAAAATAACTATGTAAATTGTGAGCATAGCAAACTTCAAAATACTCAGCAGTCCTTCCTAAAACGGTAGCAGGTTAAGCTTGAGCATCTGCTCACCCACACACTCTCAAGCCTTCCTGAAAGTGACGTGTTATCTGTAGTCAACAGGCCTGGCTTTTTTGTCCTGGAATCAGTTCAGATCTGTTCAAGAATAATGGGCCTGCAAGTGTTTGCTCTCACACTTTGCTTCCTGGTGACCAAAACCCCTTGCCTCACTCTGGATCCCTGAGATTCTAGTACTCGGCACCCTGCCAGCTACCCAGTTGCCTTCTGCAGAAATGTGCATCTGGGCAGTCTGGCATCAATTTCTTGTTTCTGTCACCCTTACAGGACAAGGGCCCTATTTCCCACACATCTGGTGGAGTTCCTTTTTCTGATCTTTGCTGATGTCATTGAGGAGTACCAGTGGTGAAGAACCACTATAAGGCAAGATTAAGGAGGCAGCATCACATACCAGGAGTGTCAAGTTCAGATCTGTTTGGCTTCATAGCCTCCCTGTCAACTCTAGTTGAGTTTGAGTTCTAGCACCTAGGGCTCTGTCAGTTACCACTGGCCACTCCTCCCTGAGAAATATCTGGCCCCATCCGGGCTGCACCTTAAGTGGAAAAGCAGTGGCTACGGCTCAGGATGTAGCCATTGAGGAGGGCTGGGGTACACTGGGAGAGGTCTGATCCATCTATTCCAGAGGAGGGTTATAAAAAATGACGAGCCCATTAGTACAACATCAATTGAGCATGTGTGGAACTTTTGATGAGAGTAATGTCCCTGAGGCCACAGTACTACTGGGCAGGTTTCCTCAGAAAGCACATGTTTGAGGTTGGGCTTCAAAGAGAACATGACGAGCACAGACCCTTCTGGATGTGTGAACATGGTCCAGACTCTTGCCTATTAGTCTCGTGTATTCAGTCTGAGGGAGTTGTTGTTTGTTTGGTTGTACTTTGTGGAATACTCAGCCATCAAAAAGGGCACTAAGAGAAATATAAGAATGTGAGACTCTATTAAAATTTAAATATAAAAATAGTAGATAAAGAAGCTGGGCTCAGGGGTAGAGCCTATGCTTAGCATGAATGAAGGCCTGGACCTTTTCCCCAGCACCAAAGAAAATGAGTTAGTTCAGAATTTGAAATCAGAACTGGGCACAGTGGTGCTTGCTATAAACCCAGCACTTGGGAGGTGGGAGCAGAAAGATCAGGAGTTCAGGGTCATTGTTAACTACCCAGGAAGGTCAAGGCCAGGCTGGGCTACATGAGACTGTGTCTCAAATATGGTATTAAAGGGATATGCAATCACAGGGTGTACATTACAAACCCTGGAAGGTTTGGTCGAGGTATTTTGTTTTCATTGGAAATACATTGTCTTCAGATGTGAGCCTGTGAAGCCCCTGCACACAGCCCAGAATCAGGTTTATAGAATGGACAGTGATTATGTTGGTATTTGAAGCTGAGTACAAGTGTGAGTCAAATCCATTCTCCCACTTACTTGCAGAAAGATACTGCATCAGTACGGTACTCCCAGCCAAGCTGCATCAGATAGGAACAGAAAGTCCCAGGCTCACACCACCCCACACACGGGGCAGGCACTGAAGCATGGCCTCTCTGTCCTCACCTGTGTGGCAGAGCTTCTGCTGAGGCACAGCTCCCGGTTTGAAGACTCTGGATCCTTCCCGGCCTCTTCACTGGGCATGCTCTCTTCTGTTCTCTGGCCTTAGCACAGCAGAAACAACAGTGTGCAGTGAAAGTGTATTAGCATAATGACACCTGGTCACTGGTGTCCTGCTACCATCAAAAGGAGGAAAAATCATTTTTATGAACAAAAGAAAAATCACCCCTATCACGTTCCATGCTATGCTATGGAACTGCTGGGGCAGTTCTCCAGTATGGACTGTGTTCAAATTATGCTTAAAAGACACTTTCATTTGAATCATACTACAGAGTCTTAGCAGAATTCTAACTAAAACATTTCATTTATAAATGCCTTCTCTTTAGACCTTATTAGTAACCCAGTAATGCAAATTAAAACAATAAAAGACCATGTTTAGCCTGACACATTTGGCAGGTTAGGAAGGATGGTTATTGGAGCTAAAAACGGTGTGCCTTTTTAGGAAGCAGTTTGGCATTGCAATCTCATGAGCCGTAAGCACTGTTTGTTTCTCAGCCTCCTGAGCAATGTAACCTAAAACTTGGCTTTCAATGTTTAAATTTAAAATAAGAACAAGGGCTCCATTAGCACCAAAATAGGGATTGCTCCCCGCTTTTGGGTTAGGAGGACCCATTTACCAAGTCTGTTCTGCAGAACAGCAGTGTCTGGGAGACCAAGGGTCCAGTTCTCACCCGTCTATCTCTGCAGGTGTCAAGGAAGAAGGCTGGTGGACTGGGCAGTATCACCATGGATTAGCAGCTTCCCAAGGCTAAACCACAGGCTAGAAGAAAGCACGAATGGACATGTCTGCTTTTCCTCTGACCGCGTTTATACAGCCACAAGCTGACTTCAGTGTCAGGCGAAACTTTTGGTCTAGGGCCAGATATTTAGACAGGGCCGAGTGTAGACCATGGGAAAATGGAAAAAAAGAAAATTATGTATAAACGACCTTTCACTCCTAGACTCCAGTGATCTTCCCTTAGCTTCTTAAGTAGCTGGGGCCACAAATGCATTCCCAGCTTATGTATAACAATTTAAATATGACGGTGGTAAAATGCTTGTCTAGCATGCACAAGACCTGGGTTCAATCCCTGAGGAAGGAAAAGAAAACTAAGTGCATCAAGTTGCAAAATTATACATAGAACATAAAGTGTGAACATGCTTCTCAATTATACTAAAAGCATCTAGTTATATTTCTAAAACTTGAGCTGGGAGTGGTGGTGCACGCTTTTAATCCTAGCACTTGACAGAGGCAGGTGGATCTCTGTGAGTTCGAGGCTAGCCTGGTCCACAGAGTGAATCCAGGATAGCCAGGGCTGTTACACAGGGAAACCCTGTCTCAAAAACAATAACAACAAAAAAATAGTTTCTAAAATGTAATGGCTTTCACATAAATTATTGAGGCAGGACGGCATGACAAGTGATTGAGATGATGTGTACGAAGGGATGTCAGAGACTAGCCAGGAAGAGTCTCAGAACAAAGCTCCTAAGGCTCCGTGGCTCTAGGGAGCAGTGCTGTTAGTGTCTAAGGGGAAATTATTTCGGCCTAGAATCCTTTGTCCTCCCACTGTTACCAAGCATGATGGCAAAAAGAGGACTTTTCTGTATGACTGTGTCTGGAAAGTGTTCTCCATAGCCTGTCCTAAGAAGATGGGGTGTACCTCTACAGTGGGTTCTTGGGGCAGAAAGATTTCTTTGAATAATTGAACAATAATAACGACTGAGAGCTTCCGAGTGTGAGACGTAGAAAGTGAGGAGTGAGTGATCCAAGGACTCCTACTCCAAATGTGAGGCAGATCCTCCCTGTGAACAGAGAAAAGCAGCAGGTTGCCAGGAAGGAGGTAGGAATTCTACACAAGCACCAAAACGAGTAAGAAATCAGATGATGAGGGACAGTTCTCTAATGAGAGAAGTCTGGAGCCTGTAGAAACTATGGGGAGCAGGCGAGAACAAACTTTAGAAGAAGGGTTGGGACCAAAACTCAACAAGTTGTCCCCTGACTGCCACAGGCCGACCAAGGCATGGGTGCACACACAAACAAATGAATTCTAAAAAGAAATGGCAGTATAAGAGGATTGCAGTCACCAAGAGATCACTATAAAAAGTAAAGACACAGTAGAAAGCAGTTCTGTTGAGGACTAGGATTGGGGGAGGAAACAGTTTTTCATTCCGTTATATTTAATTTCCTTCACTACTGACTTTTATAATTGTTGTGTCTGGTGAGTAGTCTGTAGGGTATCTGCTGCCATCCCTTCTCTCAGCCTTTCTCTTTCTCTTTGTAACACAGAAAAGGAATCTCTTGTTGGCATTTGAAGCAGCTGAGAGTGTAGGCATCAAACCCAGCCTGGTAAGTATCCTATTTTGTATCCTTTTGATATTTTCTACTTTATGAGGAAGAACTTCCTGCTACCCACTGAACAGATCCATGACACTCAGTTCCGTTTGCAGATCTGTTACTCATGATTCCTCGTATGAAGTTATCCATTTGGTCTGAATGGGATTTAGACTGGGCGGGGGGTGTTTGTTTGTTGTTATTCTTTTGCCTGCATGTGTGTCTGTGTACCCCATGTGTGCCTGGTGACCATGTAGGCCAAAAGAGGATGTTGGATCACCTGAAGCTGGAGTTAGAGGTGACTGTGTGCTGCTGGGGGATGCTGGGAATGAAACCCGGATCCTTTGGAAGAGCAGCCAGCGCTCATAACTGCTGAGCCGTCTCTCCAGCTCTAGACTCCGAGTTTCATTATGAATAGTTTTCAGTTCTGGCAAAACAGTGAGCTAGATTATCATTAAAATCCTCCTGTGATTTGAAATCTCAGTGAAATGTTGTTGTGTTTGTTTTTTCTTTTTGAGACAGAGTTTCTCTGTGTAGCCCTGGCTGTCCAGGAACTTACTCTGTAGACCAGGCTGGCCTTGAACTCACAGAGATCCACCTGCCTCTGCCTCATGAGTGCTGGGATTAAGGGCTGCTCTACCACCAACCATGTTTTCTTTTTAATATCAGCTGGGCATGGTGGTGTACACCTTTAGTTCCAGCACTTGCCAGGCAAAAGCAGGTAGTTCTTTGTAACTTCAAAGCCATCCTTGTCTGCATAGGGAGTTCCAAGACAGCTAAAGCTATGTAGTGAGTCCCTGTTTCAAAAACAATAAAATAAAATAATTTAAAAATATCAAATATAGAGCCATTGGGATGGCCAGCACTTGCCTCCGAGCCTTTTGACCTGAGTTCAGTCTCTGGACTCACCTGGTGGGAGGGGAGAAAAAGTCCCAAAAGTTGTCTTCTGACGTCTCCTCACATGCCTTGGCTGCACAAAAAGAAAGCGTCAAGTACTGAGTCCTCAAGAAAGAATGAAAAGTAACTAGATACCAGAAATCTAAAACAAAGTGAAAAGGAAGCTACAAGGTACAAACTAAGACATTGTAAGAACTCCACCTGCTCCTGGAGAGATGAAATTTGTCTTCCCCTTTGAGGAGGGTTGGGGGTAGGTAAAAAGGCCAGATGAGGTTTGGAATACAGATCTCTACCTGGAACATTTAGCTAATCTCTGTGATGCAGGAAACTCCTGATGTTTAACGGCTGCTGAAATATGCCCAAGCCAAAATTACAAAGCAACCCTCCCCACCCTACCCCAAAAAAAAGGTTGGCTTGAGCTAGTCCTCAGGTACACCAAATGAAAGGATTACCTGCCGAGATGCAGGGGGAGGGTAATGAAGATAACTATTTAACCCTATCAAGGAGATCAGAGGCACCAGCACCGGGGAGATGGCTCAGAGGGTAAAGTGCTGAGTGGGCAAGCACGAGGACCTGAGTTGAGAGCAACCCTACAGGGTAAAAAAGCCAGGCGCGTAATCCCAGCACCAGGGAGGCTCCTGCCGCCCGTGACCTCCAGGTTAGGTGAAAGTGAAGAGGGACAAAAGGAAGACACATGTCAACGTTTGGCCTCAACTCACCAATGCACCCACACACAACACAGGCACACATACTAAAATACCTAAAGAGAACATATGTGGTGGTTCAGAGCTAATCCTAGTTTCTGGGAGCCGAGGCTCAGCTTGGCTCTTGAGTTCAAGCTCAGCCTGTAGTGAGACTCCCTCCAGCTCCAAAAACAAGGGAGAGAGAGAGAGAGCGAGCAAAAAGGACACAGTGCTCTCAATATAAAGGAAGAGAGATTCAGAAAAGATTCAAACCTGGTACTGCAGTTGTTAGGAAAAGAGCCTCAGTCCTCCCAGCCCCAACAAGCTAAGCCAGTTAAGCAGAATGACCGTGAAAGCAGGGAAGGGGGGGATTTACACAAGGTGGCCACACTAGGAACGGAGAGGCCCAGGGACCCCTGCACAAACACTCCCTGTCCTTCTTCAGGGCCCTGACAAGAGGCTTTGGCTTAGACAAAGAGCAGGAGATGTGTAATAAATAGCCCTGGAGCGTCCTCCTGCCTGTCCTTACCCATCACTGTCTAGTCTCAGGTCCCCACTTCTGGGTGGGCTCACAAACAGACAGAACTGCATGAATAATTCACGGAGACGAAACTCCTCCTCCTGCTGGCAACAGACTTCATCCTCCCCGTATCCCAGCAAGAGGTTCCTGGAGAAATCACTTCTGATTGCATGTAGTTTAAAAATGCCAAGGGTGCCAGGTTGCATTGGTGCATGCCTTTACTCCCAGCACTCAAGGGGCAGAGGCAGGCAGATCTCTGTGAGTTCGAGGCTAGCCAGAGCTGTTACACAAGGAAATCCTGTCTCAACCCAAAAAGAAAACAAAAACCCCCCAAACAGAACAAAACCCAACCAAGTGTAACCCAATGCAGTACGTGTGTGTGTGTGTGTGTGTCTGTGTGTGTGTGTGTAGCCAGGCTGGCTTTGATGTCACTATGTAGTTGAGAATGACCTTGAATTTCTGCTCCTCCTGCCTCCACCTCCCAAGTGCTGTGTTTAGAGCCATGTACCACCACCATGCTTGGTCAAAATTGCTTTTGGTTTTAACCCACATACACTTGGGTGTGTGTGTAGGGGAACGACCAGGAAAATCTAAGCTGAAATAACAGTGAGGTACAAGTCCATAACTCTCCAAGGGTGGGAGGAATCAGAGAAATAAAAAGTGGAAGAGCTGTGAGAAAGCAGTGCTATGAATGATGTCATACCAATATAAATTTGAGGCAGAATGGACAGTTTTGTAGAAATACCAATATTCTTCAAATAGTGAATATAAGTATTTTCTCCAAATCTTACTCAAAAAGTAGAACACTGATTACTTAAGAAGTAGAATCCAGCTGGAGGGCTCAGCAGTTGAGTGTACTACTCTTGGAGAGGACCCGAGTTTGGTTCCCAGCACCCATGTCCGGCAGCTCACAACTGCCGAACTTCAGTTCGGGGAATTTGACACCAGGTTTTGGCTCTGCAGTCACATCACTCTTGTGCAGAAACCCACACATGTACACATAAATAAAAATAATAAAAATAAGCTGGGCATGGTGGTACATACCTTTAATCCCAGCACTCAGGGAGGTAGAGGCAGAGGATCACTACGCTTGAGTCCAGCCTGGTCTAAAAGCCAGTCCAGGACAGCCAGGGCTTTTACACAGAGGAACCCTGTCGTAAAAAATAAATAAATAAATAAATAGATAGATAAATAAATGGATGAATAAATAAATGAGTAAATGAATAAAATAAATATAAATAATAACAATAATAGGTCTTAGAAATAAGTTTTCATGTATCCATATCTGTTTAAGTACATACACGGTTTGGGAGTAAAACAGATAAACAAGGGAGATCCTTTCAGAGTGGTAGTGTGCCCCAAGCTCTAACACACGCTCCGGATCAGCCACCATGAAATGGGCATCTTAAGTGCACGCCACAATCCACACAGAAAGAATGGGCAAGTGTTGCTGGCATCATTGCTGCTGCTGCAGGGCTGCTGTGGCGTGCCCTCCAGGACTGACTGACTATGGCTTGGCGAGGGTTCTCTATGGCCTTAGTCATTCAGTCCACGACACGCTTGCTTCCTCAGGGCATGTACAGAATAGTCACTGCACAAAACCGAACTCCCAAAAGCAGGAACTCCAAGAGCCTTACCCATTGTCTCTCGAAGGATTTGTGAGTCCAGTTGGTGATGTCAGTTGCTTTTTATAAGTCTAACCATCATCTTAAGTGGTGTGAAGTACCTTCGCACTGTGGTGCAATCATTGCCACTCTGCTTCCGCAGAATTCTTATCTTGCAAAATCGAAACTCTGAGCCTGTTAAGCATTAACTGCCCATCCCCACCCTGGGCCCGGCAGCCACTGTTCTGTTCCTGGACTCTAAGAACTCACCTGTTTCAGACTCCCCATGTAAGTGCATTTGCTCCACCATAACTATGTCAGGTTTGGCTTGTGTGGCATAGCATGAGGTCCCCAGAGTTCATCTGTTAGACTTCACTTCCTTCTTCAGGTGAGTTAGATGGTTTTACCACATTCTGCCCATCTGTTCATTCATGACTGAACACTCAGGTACCACCGTAATTTAGCTCTTCCGAGCAAATGCCGCTGGGGATGGGGATGCGCAGGTGCCTTCTCTTTTCATCACCGAAGGCCCTGAGAACAGTGCCAGGCTGTTGGTAGCAAGCGTGTGCTAGCAAATGAATAAAACAGGAGACTGTAGTCCATTTCAGGTGGATTTATTTTTAGATTCATTTAGTTTTACTTTGTGTGGGTGAGCGTTTGGCCTGCATGTGTGCGTGTGCACACACATAAGCCTGCTGCCTGTGGAGGCCCCAAGAGACTATCAGATACCTTGGAACTGGAGGTCGAGGCCATTGTAAGTCGCCACGTGTGTGCTGGGAACATAACCCAGGTCCTCCGGAAGAGCAGCCAGTGCTCTTGACCACTGAGCCATTTCTCTGGCGCCTGTGGTGTACTTCTAATGTTCTTTATAAGTTCATCAGCACCAAGGTACTAAAATTCTTAGCGAGTATTTTCAAAGTCAGGTTCATTTTCATTCCGGCTGGGGAAATTTTGTGTTCCTTTTTATTTGTTCTGTCTGCTGCATTCCATTAATTAGGTACTTAAGTCATAATAGTCTATCCCGAGGTTATTCACACCAAACTACATAGGTTTGTGTGGGGTTTTTGATTTTGTTTGTTTGTTTGTTTGTTTTGCTTCAGAGCAGAGGTACCAGTTGCAAAGGGCTCTTACTCTCAGAAGGTACAGGAATGTCACTGAACTCATCTCTTCTGTCGACTGATTAACTGATTCCTTTAGCAAGAAGCCCCCTGAGAAAGGCTTGCCTTATCCTTAGGAGGGGGAAAGATGGTATCATCCAGATTTAATGCTACCGGGAGCTCCTTTTTATTTCCTCTTCAAAAAACACCTCCATTCACACCTGCGGTGGACAGACATCAGGCTTGCTACCAAGCCTGATGATTTGAGTTCAGTCACTGGGCTACACATAATGGAAGGGAAGAACTGAGTCCTGCAAGTGTTCTCCGACCTCCACAGGTGTGCCATGAGATGCATATGTAACACACACACACACACACACACACACACACACACACACACACGCGCACGCGCGCACGCGCATTGGGTGAATGACTATCTTCTGGTAGAATCACAGCAATTACCCATAAATGACATGACCATTTTATTGTACGTTTTTAGGTAAGAGTGTTTTGTCACCTGCATGCGGTAATGTCATTGTTGTCGGTTAGATTTGGATATTCTTATAGTACCTGTCTCCTTTTTGTGTCTTGTTTTGTGGCCCAAGTGGGTCTTTGAGGCAGTTTCACTGCATAGCCAAGGCTGGCCTTGAGCTCCTGATCCTTCTGCCTAATCTCAGAGTGCCGGTAACTCTCCAGAGGGCATGGCCACAACCCTCTCTGTTGTTTTAATGTGCATTTCTCTGAAGGAAAACTATGCTGAGCTCTCTTTTGCCCATAATTCTTTGCTGGCCAGTCATCTTCCTTAGTCTGGGGTCCTTGTCTCTTTCTAAATCTTATTGGTTTTTTATTGTTGAATTTTAAAAGATTTAGATGTATATACATACACACATGCTGGATACAAGTCCTTATCCTACTTGATTTTCAGATATTTTCTCTCAGTCTGAGACTTGTCTTTTCATTCTCTTAACAGTATCTTTCTCGGAGCAAAGTTCTAAATTTTCACCCAGTTTGTTAGCTGTTTTCTTTCCTGGTCAGGCTTTGATGTAATTAGAAGCTCATCACTCAACCCGAGGTCACAAACTCAGACTTGTTCTTGTGTCTTTCCTAGAGCCCTCAGAAGTTTGTATTGTGGTCTCTAATTGGTCACTGTGTGAGCTGTGAAGTACGCATTAGCTGCTTGTTTGTGGGTTTGTTTTGTGTATGGCTGTCCAGTCCTGCACCAGGTACCAGGAGACCACCCTCACCTTGCCCCTTCCCAGAGCTGCAGCTTCGCCCTCTGTTGTGCTTCTAGACTGCTTGGTGTTTTATGCATTCATAAATGTTAAAATCATTTGCCAATATCTACCACAAATTACGATTTACTGAGATTTTAATTGGAATTATATTATATATATATATATATTTCAAACTGAGAGTAATTAATAATCTTAACAAAGTTATCTTTTAACTCAAAAATATGTGTACACTTATTTAGATACTTGCTTTCTGCCATGTTTTATAGTTTTCTGCTTATAGAGTGTGTACATGTTATGTTAGATTTGGGCTTTAAAACTATGGGTTGGGAGGTGGAGAGGTGGCCCAGCAGTCAGGAGCACTGGCTGCTCTTCCAGGGACTCAGGTTCAGTTCCCAGCACCCACATGGCAGCTCACAATGGTCTGGAATCCAGTTCCAGAGGATCTGATGCCCTCATCTTGGGTATCAGACATACATGGGATTGTAGTGAGAATTCTGGAGTTTTTGTTTCTTTAAGAAAACTAAGCAATAATATAAGAATATGTTTTTTGCTTTAATCCCAGGGGTGGGGGTGGGGCTGCTTCGCAGCAGCTGACTACAATTTGCCTTGTCCTCTGGCCAGGGTGTGGTTTTGCCAGCTGCAGAGTTTTCCTCCAGTGTGTGATGTTTTAAATTTTGGGGACTGCGCTAGGTGCCATGGCACATGCCTGTAATCCCAGCACTCAGGGAGACAGAGTCCAAGGCCAGCCTGGTCTACAAAGTGAGTCCAGGACAGCCAAGGCTACACAGAGAAACCCTGTCTCCAAAAACAAAACAAAACAAAACAAAAAAAGAATTAATTAAAAAATTAATTCTGGGGACTTTTCAGAGGATAAATGCTACAGCCTAGAGAGGCAGGGTTGCTGTGGTTGACTGGTTGGTGGTTGGATGCTGATGGTTGCTTTTGGTTGCTGTTGCTTGCCATTTGTCAAGCGTGTGCAAAGAAACCAGAAAAAGAAATTAGATATCCTGATGGTGAAGATCAAACTTGCCCCAAGGAACTTGACGCCCCTAATCAGCAGAAAGTAGTCTAACAATAACATCACACTCTTTCCCTTGTATCTTTTTTTTTCCTCCTGTCTACTTTTAGGGGACTAAAAGGGTGGAGAAGGATGGAACAGAGTAAGGAACCCACAAAGTAGCAAATATGGTGCAGAGACATATGTGCAGGGAAAACATTCATACACATAAAATTTAAAACAAACAAATCTGGGAGAAGTTGTAAATAGGGTTTTTTTTTTTTTTCTGATTAAAAATCCCAGTTTGTTAATTCCCAGCACACAGGAAGGTGTCTGGGGTCTTTGGGACTGTCTAATGGAACCATGGTAACCTTGTGAGCAGACTTGGTTTTCAACCTCTGCAATCCTGATATCTACAAAACTGGTTTTATTGTCTCCTTTGTAACCTGTATGCTTTTTTATTTCTTTTTCATGCCTTTTTATATTAGCTAAAATTTTAACTACTGTATTAAACAGAACAAGTAAGAGCGTCCATCTTTGTCTTATTCTTGCTTTGAGGGAGAAAGCATTGTCAGTTAGGTATGATGTCAGCTGTTGGTTTGGGGAGGTACATACTCTATATTGTATAATAAGTTAACTCCTCTTTTTTGTTTTTTGAGAATATTTTTTATCATGAATGGATTCTGAAGTTTATTGATCATATTTTTTCTCAGTCTATGTGTATCGAACTGGGCTAGAGAGATGGCTCACCTGCTAAAGGCTAGGCTCATAACCAAAATATGAAAACATCAAACCAGCTTTGCATAGCCTCCCTCGATCATGATATATTCTACTTTATATATTAATAAATTCAGTTTACTAATATTTTTTCAGTTTACTAGTAGTTTTGTATCTATTTATCTAAGAAACTGATTCACGGTTTTCTTGCCGTGTCTTTGACTAGTTTTGGTGGTAGGCTAATCTGGCCTCCCAGGATGGGAAATGTTCCCTCTTCTTCTGATTTTGGAGACTGAATAATTGGTATTAGTTCTTCTGTAGGTGTTTGGTGGAATCATGTGAACCTGGGTTGGTAAATTGAACCAAATATCATATGTGGTGAAATTATTACCAGGACAACCTACCTTTCTCTTCCAGAAATGTGCAAAACGTTTCTTCAGAGATTTTCAGTTTTTCAAAACAGGCTTTCTCTGTGTAACAGTCCTGACTGTCCTGGACTCGCTTTATAGACCAGGCTGGCCTCGAACTCACCGCGGCCCACCTGCCTCTACCTCCCTGAGTGCTGGGATTAAAGGCATGCACCACCACACCTTGATCCAAGATGTTTTTTATTCAGTAATTGTTGGTGTGAAATGATCTGAGTAAGACTGTGACTAGTAACTGTACTTTGAAATCATCTGAAACTGAAAATGGTGTCCTCTACAGCAGAGGTTCTCAACCTGGGGGCCACGACCCCCACAGCAAACTTCTCTCTCCAAAAATATTGCTATTACAATGCATAAAGGTAACAAAATTAGCTTGGTGGTGGTGGCACACTCCTTTAATCCCAGCACTCAGGGAGACAGGCAGGCAGATCAATGTGAGTCCAGACTGGTCTACAGAGTAAGTTCCAGGACAGCCAAGGCTACATGGAAAAACCCTGTCTTGAAAAAAACAAAAAACAAAAAATTTTTTTTCACAAAATTCTAGTCATAAAGTAGCAACAAAATAATGTTATGGTCATGGGTCACCACAACATGAGGAACTGTATTAGGCAGGTTGAGAACCGCTGCCCTACAGAAAGGAGAGTTTGCTGTCTTTCTTGAGTTCGTAGGCATGTCAGAGCTCCTCTGCCTGCAAATTAGCACAGCCTTTAATCACAAGTCCATGCTGCCATTAGCAACCCCTGCTGCATTTTTTTTTTTTTCTTGGAAGAACTGTGTAGAAGGTCCCACTTGCTTTGTACCCTTCCCAGTAGATTGTGATATACTGATCATTTTAGCATGACTAAGGAACACAGCAGGAGAGAAATGATCAGGTGCTGAGTCAGTGGCTGGTGGAGAGCTGTGTGTCATCACCCAGGTGCAGATGTGCTCAGCTCAGCCTCTTTTTCCATTGCATCTCTGCTTCTGGCTTATGTTCTGTTACGGACACAAAAGACTCAACATCCAATCCCGACGTTAATAATTAAACATGTTCTAAAGAGGTTGGCAGAGGCCAACCTGCCAGGCACCTAGCCCTCTCACTGTCTCGCCACTGTTTGGCCTTGCCCTTATACATGCTTGTTAAGCAAACTTACTTGCAAAATTAGCCCCCAAAAGGAGTAAATTAATAAAACTAAAATCACTGAACAGGATGGAAGGAAGGAAGGAAGGAAGGAAGGAAGGAAGGAAGGAAGGAAGGA